ATTGAAATTTTTGCTAATGAAATTGTTTGGCAGAATGAGCATTAATTTTCGGTTTGTTTATTGCGAGCTCTCCTTTGATTAGCATAATGAAAGCAAGTCGTAAATGGACGAAGCAAATTCTGACATTTCCACTTAATCTACTGGAATCATGTCGGTCATGCGGTCAGAGGTGACAGCTCAAAAGCAAAAACAAATCGCGACCCTGGAAGGGAGACCCTAATAAAGCCGTGTCGCAGACAGTCAAGCTGTGATTTCAATCCAAATCTCGGGGACACAACCCAAACCTAAAAATATTGGCACTCGAAGAAAAAAGAACTACCAATTTCAAGGAATAAGCGAACTTCATTTCTGGTTGCTTTATTATTGTCCATAATATAAGTTTAACCATTAAATGATTTTAAAGATATTAAATTATATTAGTCAAATAAAAGTTTAAAAAATGATTGTAACTTTTAAAGCATAACCTTAGGTATTAAATCTACTAAACCTGAACCTCTTTTAGATGGCCAATTATGTTGTGTGTTCAAAATCCCTCTGCAAACGGACTAATGAAGAGCCCTCGAAGTGCGTGGCGTGGCAATGTCGCGACATTTGCCGGTTAACTCCTGGAAAACGGTCTGATTAGCCGCCATTCCGGCTGGCAATTCAAGTGGCTGACAATGTGTGCAGGCGTGCGACGGCAATCCCGGCTGAAAACTGCCAACTGCCAGCTGCCAACCGCTGATGAGCTCGGCTTTCGAACAATAACACAGTGAGATTTTGGGGATTTATGATGTTTTCCGTCTGCCGAGCCTTTTGTTTTGCCGCACTCCCCCGGAGTTTGGCGTGTCTTTCGATTTGTTTGCCCACAGTTTGTTGTTTCTTTTGCATGCAGACAATCAAACGCCCGCCGTTACTCATACGCCATGCTGGCCGCTCGTTAGCTGGTTGCCAGGATTGCCAGGACTGCGAGGATTGCCTACTGCCATTGTTGTTGTACAAGTCAGGCCCTTCCGTCCGACCGCCTGCCTGTAACAATATTTATTCATGTTAATTAAATTGTGTGAATATCACAATTTTCCATATGACTGCGCACATTTATTGTCTTTCAATTTGCGGCTGTGGTTTCAGTTTCGCTCTAAGCGCAAGCGTTCGAATACCCCGTTTTCGTAGGGGATATGTTGGGAGGATTCAAACTTTGATGGCTCTAACGAAAAATAATATTGTTTGTCTATGAATATTTTACAAAATCCCAATTGTTAAATGTGAACAAAATGTTTTAGTATTTCGGAATGTATTTGCATATGTATTTCCCCATTTTTATTTTTTTTTTAAATCCAATTAAAATGTTCTCGACCGAGATGATTAAACACGATTTTAGAAAACTTGTTGATGTAAAAAAATTAAAAAAAAAAAAACGATTAGATAAACCACTGTCGATTGTTAGGTCTTAGGAAGGGTATATCCTACTCCCTCGTTAATATTCAACTTTCCCGCCGTGGCTTACCTTAACAAAGCTCGGTTATGATTCGGTTTGCCCACGAGCACGGACTTTCATAAGAGCGGGTTCCACCCTGGCAGAGTCTCCGGCCGTAACCGTATGATTTCCCTGGCCCGGCTTTTATGACTGTAATCCGGCGAACGGCGAACCTGCAACGCATGCAGAAATAAGCAATAATAATCTGCGTTCAATTTCTACTCGCCTTGGCCGCAAATTGCACGCAAGTGACGACTGCGGACCGGAAGCGAACTGGAGCCCGGAACGGGAACCAGTCGCCACCACGTTTCCGCATCTGACAAAATAATTTGAAAGCAATTTCGAGTCCCGGGAAGAAGAAAAAAAAGGGACAAGCCGAAAGGGAAAAAATTGTCAAATTCGCACTTTGCCGGCAAGGCAAGTTTCGGGGCGGCACACTGCAATAATATTTCAATATGTAATTTGGCAAATTCAAATTTTGGCCAACTGCAGTCGAAGTCTTGGAAGTCGGCCCTCCGACAGCGATAATTTCCCCCAAGAATGCAGCATTAACACGAGACGCAGATGGCGATGGCCACAGGGCCAAGGAGTGGATTAGATCGGAGTGCTCTGGGAAGGAATGGGGATTCGGATTGGGATTGGAATGGGCTAAAGATGGGAATGGGGAAGGGGAAGGGTTACTCCTTGGCATACAGTCTACTACTATAACTGTGTGTGTTTGTCATATTTGCATGCGCAACTAAAAAGGTTTCTGGCTGCTGGCAAATTGATCCCAGCTCTCTGGCTTATGAAGGACACGGACTGTACCATTGTCTGGGCTTCCTTCGCCAGGACTCGGGCGGGGCGGATAATAAACGTTGCAGCAGGAGCAAAGAAACCGGAGCTGGAGCCAAGGCATCCGGCGAGCAACGCAAAAAGCCAACTCTCAAAGGACCTGTGACAGGATAATGCATGCTTGCATTTTAGATGACAATAATGCATTTTTGTTTTAAGGGTAATTCTGCAGAATGTTTTGCCTGGCACAGTCGCTGGGGGATTTCATTATGCGAGAATATATATAAAGAAGTTTTGTTTATTCCCTGCGATTTGGAGATGTCTCTCCAACTTTGCCCAAGTGCTGCCATCAAACGCTGGGCTCAAACAACTCGTGTTCCGCCAACTATTTAATACCGCGAGTGAAAAGTACTTAAAACTTTTGCAGCCAATTAAATTCGCGAACATATCTTTTAGGGAGCTTACATATTTTATGGGACAATAATTTTTCAATTAGAGCAACAACCATTTCGCCTTCTGCTCCCAGCAATAAATGAAATATTGGGGACCCAAATTAACAGCCATTTCCCGCTGAAGTCGGAGGGCGGTGATGCTTTAAAGTATCTGTAAATTATGTCAATGACAGCACATTGACTTTATAATGGTTGGCAGAAAAGGCATTGGGGTACAGTAAACTTGAGCTTAAATTTTTGGATTTTATTTTTCTTTTAATTAAGTTTGAATACATAAACTCTTGACATAATTATTTAAAATAACTTCGATTGCAACGTTGGCATTTTCTGTCAGTGCTGGAACGAAAAAAACTCTTTAAGAACAGACCTCATGAAATATTCAAGGCTTCCTCCTGGCTGTGCATCACCCCGCCAGACTTTGGTTAAAGCCACTTTAAAGCCTTCCACTTGGCAGTTAATCGATTGCCGTTTGGTCTGTATTATGGCACTCAGTGGGGGATTAAGTGAAAAAGTCTACAAAAACACGCCGGAGTGGGCCGTGTCTGTTGTGCGTTTCCGCCGGACCCGGTGACGCTCGGCAGCTGGCGTGTCCTGTGTCTGGGGCTAATCCTCGACAGGCACAGGCACGTCCTCGTGCTCAGCGGAAATCGCCGTTCAAAAATTACGGGGGTGGCCCGCTCACATGCCGTCGAATGTTGCACGGCAGCTTTGTTTACTTTTCATTTCCTTGAAGCAGATGCCACATGATCCCCATCCCATTCGCTCGATGAGTAAATAGACCGGGCTTGGGACTCCGGGAATCCCCGATTCACTTCGGGGTCGCATTTTTTCCATCGCTGGCGGACTAATTTGCAAGACAATTAGAAGGTCCCTGGCTGAACCAGACGACGGTCGCTAATGAAAGCGCGCGATAAGAAAACTTAACAAATGTCAAATGGCCGAAAGGAGCGATGGAGATTGCAGTCGGGGTTTAGCGCCGCCGGGCCACGCTGTCTGCGCTGGAAAGTAAAGTAAATGTTTACTTTGGAAATCTGAAATTTGCATAATTTGCCAAGAAGACGGAGGCAGAAGCAGCGGTGGGGGATTCTGTCTGCCACCGATAAAGGCGGGGCAGCATTCATGGCCTGTCGAGATGGATGACAAGCTTCTGGGGCAGCGACGGCTGCGATAGTGTCACACGTGCCCCTGACCAGCGATAGATGATGTCCGGAAAGTGTCAAACTGGACGCCGGTTGCCCATCGCCCATTGCCCATCGCCTTTCGTATTGCCAGGATGCCTAGATGCCTGGATGCCTTTTAACCGGCCATCAGGTGTCAGGTGCCGAGTCCTGTCAGCTGACTCGGCCAGGCTCAACAGGATGCCACTTGCTCGCTGCCGAGGCAAGGACAATTCGTAGTTGTTGCTGGCTTGTATCGCACTTTTCGCAGCCGAGAGCGAGCCGAGGAAAACTGCGATACAAGGAGCAACAACTTTCGCTCTCGGTGAGCGACTCTTCGTGGCTTGTATCGTATTTACGCCGTCGCCGCCTGTTGTTGTATTGAATTTCCCCCAAACAACTCGTAAACAAAGCGCAGAGGCGTCGATTCACCGGGGGTCAGCTCTTTTGAGGATCTGTCTCGAACGAATCTGCGGGAAAACTGTCCGCCATTTTGTCTTTCCTGCGGAAAACTTCAGCTCTTCAGCGTCTATATATTGGCCTTTGAAGGCACCTCCCCTTTGGGTACATAAGTCCTAGTGGCTTTTACATGGCCAGCTTTCAGACTCCGCCTCTGTCTTGTACATGCACTTCCACTGGGCTGCGATGCACTGGTGTTGGTGAGTATCCTTGCAGCATGCAGAGAGGCGAGAGAGCGCACGTGGAGCTGCTCTTCGGTGGTTGATGGTGCCAAAGGACCTCAACGAACTGGGAAAATGCGCTACGTCCAGTAGAAAAGGGAAATAATACTAATTATATTATATAATGGTTTATTAATATATGAAAATTAAAGGCGAAGGAAGTCAAATTTGAATTTTTTTTATATTTTAAAAAAAATAAAAAAATAATAAAAAAAAATTAAAAAAAAATTCAATTTAATTCAAAGCATTCAAATTCAAAATAATTATAATAAACTAGAAAAAATGGTCCTTAACCTAAACCTAAATTTTATGATTTACGATACCTTTCCCTAAGCGTCTAAATATTCTAGAATATCTCCAAGTAAGCTCATATGGCCAAGTACAGCTCATCAGGCAACTAACCTGCTGCCACTCAGGATTCAGGACGCAGGACTCAGGTCGCGCTGAAGAGCCATCAAAACAGAGCGCTCATAACTCAGAGATGCTCGTGGGCCACTTGGCCAGGACGAAGGATGTGGAGGTGGAAGTGGAGGTGACGATGAGCCGGCTTCGTTAAGCAGATGGCCACACTCGCACCTCCGTGTCCTGGTGGTGGATGTCCTTGCTCTCGCTTTCTTGCTTTCTCTCCACTGCTCTCTCTCTCTCTGTGAAAACGTGCAAATTAGCATATCAAATGCCATAAATGGTGCTAAGGCAGTTAGTGTGTGTGGTCCGTCTCTCCATTGTTGCCCATACGCCACGTTGCACGAGCGAATGAGCGCACGAGGGGCGGTGCGACAAGGACGAGGGGTGGGTGCAGCTGCAGCTGTATGTGTGTGTGTGCGAGTGTGAGTGTGCGTGTGATTTAGTTGCATGCGATAATGTCAACCACAGAGCGAGGCTTTCGCCTTTCGTTGGCTCGCTTTGCCTTGTCCTGTATTGGTGGCACACACGTGTGCATCGGTGTGTGTGTGCCTGTATGTGTGTGTGTGGTGGCTCGCTTTTTTCGGTGGTGGTGCAGCGCTGCCACTTCAAACGCTACTGAAACTGCTGGACGCCGACTTGCGACTTGGCGACGTGGCTCTTCAGTGTCAATTCGTCGACACGAGGCGCTGCTTTCCGCTGAGAACTAATCGTAGAAATCTTGAGCAGCCTTTCCTGATTTCCCGGTTTTCCCGGTGCGTAAACCACTTCGGCTGCCACGTGCTCGTCCTCTCTGTTTTCCCGTGTCGTCGCTGTTTTGTTTTCCTGCCTCTCCCAATCGCGAGTTTTGTTGTGTGGCAGTGCAAAAATTCGATACAACCCGTCCAAAGTGGGCCATTCGGGCGGTGTCCTGCCAGGACCTGTGCGAGAGTGTGAGTGAGCACTGCACTTCGGCTGAGGAGAGAGAGTGAGTAGAAGGAGCCACCAGGCCGCTCTCTTTGTTGTGCTGCGTGTTTTGGCCTACGTGTCCTGACCTTGTTTACATTTTTTCGAGTTGCCGCAAAGGACAAAAGTGGCTCAATAAGTGCGCATGTGTGCAAGAGTACAGATCTTTAAGAAGGATAAGAAAGAAGATGGTTTGAAATACAGCAGTTCAACATTATCAAGACATTTTACAATGCAAACGATTAATTTGTATTGTGTCAAAGTATTCCCGATCAAAATTCAACTTAAATATGTAAGCTGAAATATTTTTTGAGTAACATAAACTCTTATTAACGAACCAGTTTACATACTGGCAAGAAATTAAGTTGATGCTTCGGGCATTTCAAAATAAAGAGAAATAAAAAACATCTCAAGTATTTTATGTTAATATTTTTACACTACTAAGCTGTAGTTTGTAACGTTTTTTAAGCATTTTTTTTTTATTATCTATCGACTTTTGCTTTCTGGACAAATAGAGTACATTATTACAATTGATGAAATAAAATATTGAAGGAATTATTTACGAAAATTATAAAATTGTTATTAAGTTTTAGCACCAATCTACACTCGAATGAATTTTAATTAGTTTAGTTAGCCTTGATAGGACCAAATCCCATTCCAAATACATAGTTTAATGGAATTTTGTAGGAATGTCTAATTTAAAACCCCTTTCTAATGCATTCATAATCAAGCCGGGATTACACATTTAAATACCAGATTTAAATCACAACTCTTCCCTCGAAAGCCCGCAAACATAATTTATGTAAAAACTTTATAATCCAGGGGAGATTTTTTGTTGCAATGGCGCTTCATTAATTTATGAATATCAAATTGCATTCTGACATTTGCCAACAAAAACTATTTAAAACTTGTCCCGGGATGTGTTTGGCGCACAATAGCCTTGGTCCCGGTCCGAGGACCTTTTCCAGGACCTTCCCATACCCCATCTCCTCTCTCCACTCGTCATCCTGGCCTTTCTTCGCCCCCCGGCCATTGGCGATTCGGTTTGATTGAAGCACCCGCATGTACAGAGCATTTTAAATATTTACAAAGATATTTCAAAAAACGCTTTTGGCATGTTTTGTTTTTGTTCCGAGTTTCCCTTGTAATTGTTGTTGTTAGCCCGCTGTTGTTGCTGTGTGCTTGCTTGTGTATGTGAGTGTCCAGAGGTCCTCGGAGTTTCCCCCAGTTGGTTGAGTGTTTTGCTCACTTTTCGGTCGCTGGAAAAAAGGGAAAACCGAACTTCGAATGTGGCATGAGGGCTGCTCTCGAGCTGTGAGTGTGTGTATGTGTGTGCGAGGGGGCGGGGCAGCAGAATGGGGCGGGGCACTTGAGGGCGCGTGTGTCCTTTTAGGAAAGTGTCAAAAACCGTTGGTCAAAAAACCGTATGGCAATTATTCAACACAATTGAATATGAAGTGCGGCGATGGCTGGGGACGAGGATGTGGGGCGAAAAAAGTTGCAGCGCTGGGCAAATAATGAAAAATACACCCACATCAGTGTTTTTCGGCTGTCTGCACTCGAGCACACACCCACACACACGTCTGCACCCTTTTGAGCCGTTGTTGTTGCTGTTGTTGTTGCGCAGTTGCTGCCGCCTGGCAATTTTTCGGTGATAAAATATTTAAATTTAATTAAGGCCACGATTGCCGGGCCAGCAGCCAGCACCCAGCATTCAGCCCCCAGCAGCAAAGGGAAGATGAAGTGGAGCCGGTCCTGGCCGGACCTTTGACCCTGCATTCCCGTGCCCGGAATACAGGATACAGGATACGGATGGAGGGGATGGGAACGGGGATAGGAGTGGCGGTGAAGTGAACCAGGTCCTTTGGGCCCTTTGCATTTGCGTGCGGTGCGTTTTGGAGGCTTACGGCTGCCCGGCAAGAAATTCATTAAAAATTTTTGCTTTGATGCTACCAAATTCTTTTGTAAGTTTCTTTGTACTGCCAGCCTTGGCCCCAAACCCCCAAAAACGAACGGCCGGGGCCACAAAACATACTTTCAAAGGACCCCGGCGGTCGGTGTGTGTCCTTGCCAGTGATTATGTCCTGGATTAAACCCCTTTCGGTTTTCGTAATTAAGCTCGAGAGCCACAAAAGTTGCATATGCACGCGTATCTCTCCAGTTATTGTGCACACAAATTGAACACGATTGCAGCTGGAAATTGCTGGCCAAAAGCAAACTTTCCGTTTGCTGGCATCTTAATCGCCGGCAAGAGTCGGAAAGTTGCTGTCTTGCCTGTCTAAACCCGAAAACGAAACTATTCCTGCTCTGCCACCAAACTTTTGATCTTGAGTTGTGCAAATATTTTTCATTATGCGGGCCAAGTATTTATGGAATTATGGAAATTTGTTTTCAAGATATTTGTTTCCTTTCTTTGGCAGAGCGGAGGAGGTGAATTCTTCGGGAGTCAGGAGCTGTTTTATGGACATAATCTGCGTCGTTCAGAGTGTGGTTGTTGTCTTAACAGGTTTCGGTGTAGTTTTTGAATTTTGAATAGAATAACAAAGTTTTAAGCACATTGTTGCAAATAATTCGTTATCCTCTTGATCTTCCTCATTACAAATTTACCTTATAGTGCTCTGGAAACTTTAATTTCTGCCCTTTCAGTTCCACGGTGGAACGCCAATAGCTCTGCCTCTGCTGTAAAATCAAGGTAAGCTCCTTTGGATCATTAGATTCTGTTGCCAAACTGTCTCTATACTGATTGATTGCCAAAATACTCCAATTATCCCGTATTCATTCCTCAACTGCAATTTGGGAGTCCTTGTCTTCTGATCCCGATTGATTTTGGAGGCCTGCTATAAAATGAGGATTTCTGGCCGGCAGGCAGTCTGACAATTAGCCATGGCCAACCGGTTGGGGCTATTGCATATCTCCGAGCTCAGATATTTGGCCAAAGGCAGTTGCTGCAATCGCTGGGCAGGTGCACCTGTTTTGTCACATCTAATATTCTATTGTTTGGCCTGCTGCAAGAGTTCGTTTCTGGCCAAGAAGGGAAGCGGGCGAAGTCAACAATGGACTGTGGACAGAGGCATGCAAATTGGCCGAGAAAAGAAAAGGAAAAGGGAAAGGGAATAGGCAGTTAGAAGAAAAAGGGGAACAGGCCGAGCCAATTTTTCTTGCATTTGCCTTCGAGTTTTTCGGGTTTCCTGGTGTTATTGTTGCTCCTCCTCGTGCTGTTTGTCCAAGTTGCCATTTCAAGCGTGTTGCAATGAAAAGCAAACTTTTCCTCCGCACACGCAGCACTGTTTTGAGGTTGGACATGGGGTTAGGCATTCGGTCTTCGGTCCTGGGCCTTCGGTCTACGGTCTACGGACTCCGGTCTCCGGGCTGCAGGACTCAACAGGCGCACACGAAATTAAAATGCACTCAGCTGAAAAATTGGTTTTCTCGTTCTTGACAAACTTTGAGTGATTTCTGAAAGCCTCCTTCCACCGAGGCTGAATCGCAGTTGGTGGCGACTCGAAAGGCAACAGCCGATGAGCCAACAACAAGATACTTTTCAAGAGCTACCTTGCTTTCCCAAAAAAATGTTTTAACAAGGCGCACGTTTTAATCAAGCGTGCCGAAAATAACACATAAATTATGGGAAGCCAAAAAAACGATAACCGAAAATTGCGTGACTCAATAAAAGTTAATGATTGGTATTTTAAGCCCCCTCACTGTTGATATTTGCTAATGTTTATTGCTTTTGAGCATCATGTGTTTGCAATATTATATTGACATTAGTATTTCCTACCATTTTTATGTGAACAACATTGAATCTCTTATGAAATTAATAATGGGAGTTTATTTACAAATGAATTAACTTAGATTTAACAAAACATACTTGTTGTTTCTGCTAACATAATTTAGTATTAATAGATTCTATTCTCTTTTTAGCTAAACAAGGCTTAGCGAGCTGTTGTGGTTAAAATAGCGAACCTGTCTAACGGACTTTCGGCCAGTCCCGCGGGACTGGGATTCGTGGGCATCCTGCCCTGCTCGCTCCAGTGGCAGCCGCCTGGAAAGGCGCCCAAGCTGCTAGGCTACTCCTCCGCAGCTCGATCAATTAGCCAGCCGTATGCAATGCCCGCCTCCGGCAACAATTGTTGCAGCAACAGCAACAACGGATGCTGCCTGGATTGCCGTTGCTGCAAGCAGGGATACGAGCATTTACCTGTGCCGCGGTTGCTCCACCAACAGCCACCCCCTCCGCTTAACCAAAATCCGCAGCAGCAGGGACACCAGCAAGTCAGCTGCATCACCACCCTGCAGCAAACAACTACCACGCAGCAATTGCAGCAGCTTTCACCTACAGCATCCTCCAATCCGAACTTCTCAATTGGCAATTGCCTGATGCCGGCAACTACAACATCCACCACTTATGTGAGCAGTATTGGGCCGGAAAACCCGCTGCTCGCAATGCAACATTGCCATTCCCATTCGCATTCACATTGTAATGCGCCGAGCAGCAACCTGCAACCCTGCAGCAAGACCACCAGCAACATGCAGCAGGCCTGCAGCAACAGCAGCACCAGCAACACGCTACCTGCAATCTACAACAATGCTCCAACTCAGCCGATGATCCTTGTGCCCTTCATGTTGCCCATGCAGCAGCAACACCACCAGCAGCAGCATCAACATTTGCAGTTGCAACCTCCTCTGCCGCCGCCGGAGGATTGCAAGCCCTTGTTGCCCGCCAAGAGCGTTCCTCCCCCGCCTCAGCCGCCGCCCCTGCTCACCCACTTTCAGCCGCTGCTGCAGCCTCCCCCGCTGCCCCCTTCGCCTACGATGCCTCAGCCGCCTGTTGCCTGTCCGCTGCCCAGCAGACCACCTGCCACGCCCCCGATACCTGGGATCCACAGCGTTCAGAGCCTCAAATCCGCGGCTGCATCGGCCCTTAGTGTTTACCAGCGGGTAAGTAGTACATATTTATCTTTAACTTCTTATTAAACACCAAATAATTAAAAACCATAAACATGTGGTATTCGTTCTATATTTTGCCTTTGGTAATAATTCTCCCAAGACAATAATAACTTATTATCCATAACAAACAAAGATTTAATGAGAGATTGAGCCAAACACCTGGGAGATGTTCCCTGTCGATCCAAGGTGGCTGACTGCGAGCGGAGTGTATTTGTTGTGCATCAGGGGCACTTAGTCAATGGCGGCAAATCCTGCAGGGCCACTAAAATGTTGCAATTTGTTGTGCTTCGCAAAGGCAGGGACAATGCCACGTATACTTAATATTTATGGGCGTGCTGCTGCCAAACTTCAATTTACATAAACATAAAAGACAAGCAACATTGGAGCAGCTCTTCCCGGAGAATCTGCATGCATGTCGGTGAGATTTAGCGCAGCGACAGGACACAAAAAATCAAAGCTACAAGGGGGTCGAAATGCAAATCGGAGCGGGCGGAGGGGAAGGCAAAAGGAGAAGGGGGCAGCGGGGGGTTAAGGCGGACTTACGGCGAGCACGAAAAACTAATGCATAACCTAGTAAGATCATCAACACGAAATTTTACAGCAAACTCATGTCCAAGGATGTGGAAATAAACTAGTTGTTTTTGTTGCCATGGCCGCTACCTCTGCCACTTCTCCCCCACCTTCCCCTCGAAAGCCACCCTCTCCACAATGTTGTCCTGCGCTCAATGACTTTTGCATTTAATATGAGTAAAGAAGCGAAGAGAAACAGCCAGCAGATAAACACACTGCGAAGAATTTCAATAGATACTAAAGCGAGACTACTAGAGCCCATAACTTGGACAATTTGAGTCCGAATGCAAAGTGATATCCCTCTAAACAGTTTTTCAGTTTCTGATGGTCTAATTTTTTACCCCTGTTCATGCCAGATTTTTCCAGGTTTCCGATGGTTTGCCACGAAGTGACCCAATATGGCACTTCCGTACCCCATAACTCGACCAATTCGTATCCGATTTCAAAGTGGCACACCTCTTAACATTTATGTTGGGATTCCTACACGAACTGCATTCAAAGTTTTCCATTTCATGAAGGTCGAATTTTTTACCCCTGCTCATGTCAAATTATTCCTAGTTTCTGATGGTTTGTCAACAAGGGATCCAATACTGACTGTGTGGTTTCTCTCGGTGCAGCGCTGGCCAAAAAGCTGAGCTGGACTTGAGCAGTGGGCTTCGGGCCTTTACGGCGGGCTGAGTCCTGGCCAGCGACATGCAAAACGTGCTGTTTAAATTACGTTCCTGCCGGCGGATTTCAGATTTCGGATTTCAGGTGGGGCCGTCTGCAAGGACAAGCAGATAGTGTCTGCTGTCGACCCGCCTCCTCAGCTCCTCAGCTCTTCAGCTGCTTTCCTTCTTTGCCGCTTCCGACGATTCGTTTATTTGATAGCCTTGCTGTTGATGCCCGTGCATAGCGGATAAGTTCGTCCTGATTAAGAATCTGCAACAGGGAAAGCTGCAGAGAAGAGAGTAAAGCATGGTGGTAAAGGACGAGTGGTCAGTTGGCAATGTCTTAATGCAGAGAGGGGAGGCCGCTTCAGATTACAATGGAAAAATTCATAAGTCTGCTGGCAGCAGTTTGTGCTTCATATTCCCGACGACAACTCTGTGGCATCTCGATTTGCGCCCTGCTTCTCCGAGAGAAATATAGTTTACATCAGAAATAAACATAAGCAACATGCACATCATAGTCCTGCATCCTTAATGCTGTTCATTCACATGTGCTTAAGTAGTTTTATTTAGGAGAATCCCACTCACACACAGAGGAGAGCGGACTCCATTTGCACATTTGAATGTTAAATCTTTCATGAAATGCCTTTTTTCGACAGTCCGTCTGTCCGTCCGCTTTCCATATCCAATACATCCAGAAAATACTCACGTGAGAGTGCTTTTATGTATGTGTCGGTTTGTTGTGGTCTTCCTGAAACTTAACAATACCTTTTCCAGGCCCTCCCTTCCACCGGCATTCGCTTTCATTTGTTTTTGCATTTCCTTCCCCTGTTTCTGAAAAACTGAGCGCGCTATCATGCACAAAGAAAGCATTCCATGTGCTGCCTTTAATGTTTGCACTAGCCCACTCTTATAATGTACTCTCGGCCACACATGTGAGGGTAAATACATCTGTCTGTGAGTGTATGATGTGCACTTTAAAAAATATCAGATTATGATATAAGTTTACTTCCTAAATAAGTCCATCTTGAAAGTAAGTCTTTTGGGTAAGAGCTGAATCTTAAAAATATAAAACAATTTTATCATATTTTTCCGTGTGTTGTTGCCCAGACCTCTGCATTGGAAAGTTTTCTCGGATCTGTTGCTGCATTTGGAATCACTTGAAGTCCGGGGAATCGTCTGGTTGTCTTTTGCCGCCCACTTGACCCCGCCCCCCGGCATTATGTTGCAAAAACAGTTGGTTTCCATCTAATAATTGTTCTGCTCATATTCCATATGCACTTGCGGCGTATTTCAAAGCGGATTTCGTTGTGGAGCTCACTTGTTTTTATTGTTTTTTTTTTTTTTGCTAAGCTGCGAGCTATTTCGTATTGTTTATTTGTGCTGTCGAAATCTCTTACTTAACTCAGCTCCCTGGAAACGTGGCTGCGGGGAAGTGTTACTAAGCACTTATATCATAAATATAAATGTGCCTACAAAGCAATTAATGTTAAATGAAAGGTAATGAAACAGAGAGTTTTTATCTAGCGGACTAAGAAGCTTTGGTTAAGCCCACAATTATGTTCCGGATATTAAGATGCGTCTGTTTCTTTTACGTCATTACTGATTAGGCATAAAATTCAGCGGAAAAAATTAAAAGCCTATTTTATTAAAGTTTGTTATTTTTTAAGCTCATGGAAAGAAATCGTATGTGTTTAGCTTTAATTAAAAACTGTTTGTTTTTTAAGATCGTGAATACTTTAAGTTTACAGGAGCATTCATTCAGATGAACGGTTAAAAGGGGCTGAAATGCAAAAAACAATGGAAGAGGAACGTACGTTGGACCCCGAAAAAGAGGTCCTTTGGTCGACTTAATGGCCCCGAAGGGTCGCGAGTGGTGCATAAGTGGATCCATATTTCATATGCCGCGTTAACGGGGCGGCAAAAAAGCAGACACACAAAGCGAACAACACATTTCGAGGACTGCCAGAATGCGTTGACTTCATTGGAAGAAATCCAAGCAAAAAGTTGGAGATACCAAGCGGGGCTGTCATTATTTCGCTCTTAGCTGTGGGAAACTGAAACAAAACCAAGCGAAACCAGAGCGGAGGAGAAGGAGCGGGTCGGGAGTGTCCTTGCTGCTGCTTAAGTAGAAGAAATTTGATAGCTGCGCCAAAGGATGCGATATCAAAGGACTGCCTGGTGGCCAACGAGTGACAGGCGGCGAAGGAAAGTCGAAGGAAGCGGTTGACAGTCGAGCAGGCAAGCTGGCAAACTAGCAAACTGGCAAATTGGACAAGCGCAAGACAGGACGAAAAGGAAGGACCCTGGAGAGAATCGCAGCAAAAAACGCACCCAAAATGCGAATCACAATCTGGCCTTAGGGCCAATAGTTCCCCCTTGCAAGCCAGAACTGCCAAGCAGCCAAGTTGTGGCATTAACAGTCGCTCCATCGCCAGCAGAATGTGGTGACTTTCTCGCCGTTCACAGCGCCTGTAAATGCTTCATTGCTCTCCCGAGGACACTCCACACACGCCCACTCTCCCCCCGCACGGCATCCTTGCGCCGATCTCACCATGAGCATCTTTAGTCCTCTGTTAATTCAATCTGCCGACTGGCCGCGAGGTGGCGCCCCAAAAGAGCCAGCCACTGCTGCTGGCTGAGTGGCCCGAATCTCACCGCATCTGATTGTGTGAGTGCCCGACATCTCTTCCTTCGTCCTGAGTCCTTCGTCCTGCGTCCTGAGCTCAGCGTCCTTCGTCCTCTGCGTCCTTCGTGTGTGTGCGAGTGTGTCGCGCACTGGCTTGCTAAAAGGCGATTAACCCATTATGCGAAAGCACTTTGCTTTCCCACTTTTATACAAAGTACGTGATTGAAACAGAAACAGATAACTAATTTACCACGGGTTACAAAATTGTTACTCTGGTAAATCGTTAAAAAACTTTGTTTACATTATTTTTACAATGACATCTAAATTCAAACAGTTTGCTAGTTATATATTTTCAGACAAGTTCAATATGAACTTAAAGTTGTTATTTAAAATCAATAAAAGATAGAAAAGTATTAAAATGTTTTTAAAATATGTTGAAAAAATCTAGCATAATAAAAAAAGGAAGGAAAAAAAATGTTCCCAAACAGTGCAACAGTTCAAAAAAATCGAACAGTTTGGCAAAAAAAAAAATGGGTTAATCCTTGGGAAGGAGATAAAAAGGACGAGGGCGTCAGGAGCAGCGTGGCCTTTTTTGTTGTTGCTGCTGGCACTTGAAAGCTTTTACCACAATGCCTGTGTATTGGTGCGTGTGCTGCTGGGGGGTGTTTGTGTGTGCCGTCAAGTGCTCCTTTGTTTCTCGCTGTGTGTGCGAGGGCGCCAAATTTCAAAAGCAGCCGCGCAAAAGCTTTTTTGTCGCCGAACGGTTTATTTTGCGCGACACTCGACGTTGGACGCATCCTTTGAAAGTGTAAACGCCGTCAGCAGCTTCTCTTTCAATGGCGGCCCATGCGGCGAATACTTGATATCGGATGCTCGGATGCTCCGATGCTCGGATGCTACGGGAGAGAAGCGCTCTTAAGCCCTTGCCAAAGTCCTAATTTAATTTAGCGTAAATTCGGTTTTCGCTCCTTTTATTTCCCGTCGGGTGGCCCGCTAAGGTCAGACCGCCAGGAACAGGGCGAATTAAATGCAATTGACAGTTGCAATTTCCAGCTGGCTGTCAGGCCAAATCCCAAAGCGACTGCATTCGAGACAGGGAGGAGCAGGGCCGCGTCCAAACTCGGTTGTAACACAATAAAATGCAACCTCAACTGACACAAAGAAAATGTTTTACCGAATGTGAGCCAAGGAGTCGCTCGTGCAAGGACGAGGGCGGCCAGGTCCGATGGGGGCGTGGCCAAAGGGGAAAAAAAACAAGGATAGACATCACGTAAGCGGAACAACAATGCCAAGTTAAGCCAAACCGCCGCGGCTGTCAAATTAGAGGCATTCAGCAGGCACCTCTGCAACTTTGTGGGAATTTCTCATCAAAAAGTCGAAGTTTACGTTTCCAAAACCCCCCAAACTTTCATTGGATAATTAAGGTGACATACGGAGAATTCCAAACATAAGACATAATTCGCATAGCAAGTGAGAAAATCACTGTAATGTGTTCGCAGCTTATTGAATCAATCATTCTGGTTAAGTAAGCAATTTGCACCCAAGGCGTTGATTCATATCCTCCACACTCCATGGCCATCCTGATTCCGGCTCACATGTAATCGTAATTGAAATACCCCGGAATTGTTAAAATTAAAGTTTAGCAACCACTCGACCAGAATCGAAATTTAGTTTCATTGCTTGTCTTGGACAATAATGACCGAACTGAGTCCTCTGTTTGTTGTCCTAAATTTGCCTGCAGTAATGAATGCATTTACACCGATAGAAACAAACTGAAAAATTAGGATAGATCAATCTAAATGAAAAGAACTTATAATATAATGCAATTGCTCTAATCTAGACATTGAATCAATGGCTTTAACAAACTGAATGTTTGCTTCAACAATTACAAGATACGATTATGCATTTATGAGAACACTTGAGCTTTATAAGTTCCTGGAACTCATAAAATCAATATCTATTATTTAAACACACCGAAATAGCAAACAAAAGTGTTTTCTCTTAGTGAATATAAACCAACTTTCGATGTCCGTCCGAGTGCAGAGCTTGTAAAATATTTCGGAGAATTCTTCTCAGGCTTGGACTAAATTTATTTAATAGCAAATATTTGCCAGAAAATTACCTGTCCATCGAGGAGTTGAAATGAATGCGAGCGAAGTTAAATTAGAATGCAGACACGAGCAGCTTTCTCGGGGGCTATTTCGAGTTTCGTCTAATGACTGACGCGTGTGAGTTGTTTGTTTCATTTCGTTGCATTTTGTTGGTCAATTAATTTGCATGTCGTTGGTGGCCGTAACTAACGATAACCGGGCTGAGAAGATGTTCGGGCGAGCACGTTAGAGACTCCCCGGTGGACTTTCTTCATTAAATTAGTGTATGTGGTGACTTTGACAAAGCGGCTGTCTGTCAGTCCTGCCGAAAGCTCCCAATATCCTTGCACATGCCTCGTTACGTCGGCATTCCTGTACGGCCTTGTTTTGTTTGTCTTTCGCAACGTGTTTCGGCATCTTTATTTTCAATAACAAATAAAAATGGCCGAGAACAAGGTAAAATAAATTGCAGCCACGGTCAGACAGGATCTCCGGACCTCGATTTCCAGACTGTCCTGGATTCCAGTCCATTATATTTCTCCGCAATTCCTTTGCTTTTCGGCATTTAATTGGCCGTATAATTGATTGGAGTTGTTGTTGTGGCCAGCCAGCTTGTTGTTGTGGCCACTTCCTGGTACTCGATCCCCCTCGTCTAACTCATTATATCTGGTGAGTGAGTGTGTGTTGTGCTGTGTTGTGTTTGCAGCAAAACATTTCAAAATGCCGGCCCAAGTGGCAAAGTTTTCTTTGGCCAACTATTGAATTGGCCCTTGGCACGAGCCTTTGATAGAATCCTCGTCCCTCTCCCTTTTTGCTGACTAGGCTTTCGGGCTGCCCTATAAATTTGTATTGTGCTGGCTTGTTCTCTGCGGTGCGTAATTAATTATATTTGCCTCCGACTCAAAATGTCAGTCGGTCTCTAATTATTATTATTCCAATAGGGGGAACGGCCAGTGCCCCCAGCCCCGAATTGATGCCAGGTCTGCATATCTTTTCGGCCTGGCTCTCACAGGTTGTTTGACATTAATTGATTTATTTGCCTTTTACATAAATTAGGCGCTGAATATTTGGTTTCATTGCTGTAGTGCAGGTGGAGTGGTTGATTTACCGTGGGGTCTGATTTCACTTGGCTTACGCATTAAAGTAGTTCCTTTATTTATTTACAAGGCATAGTAAGTCATTAGGTCTTTAATAAGCTAATCATCTACATAAAACTAATGGAAAAAAAACACATTACAACGGATGAGTGTGGCAAACACAATTGTTGTATCAAACTTTTGGCTTTATGCCAGTTAGCCTGGCTTAGCTGCTGTTTTTGAGCGGACCAACGTCCGTTGCTTTTTGGCGTTCGCTCAGATGGAAAACGCGATCAACGCGGGGTGGCGGAAAAAAAAGGAAACTTTTTGACAGCGCAACATGCAAAAACAAATTACCAAACAGTCAAACTGTCAATTACGGGGCAATTAGTTGGCTTCGATTAAATGGCAGCCGCCGTTGTAGTTCCTGTCGTCGCTTAAGCCGTTTTGGCCCCCGTTCGCAATGGCAGCACGTCGCTCCCAACGCCCAACTCCCATCTACCAACTACCAACAACCAACTTGCAACTGCCAACTCCCTGGAAGCAGTGTGCAAATATTTGTGGCTGAAAATTAATGTCCGACAAGCCAGCGGCATGGACAACTTTCTGTGATAATTGGCCCACTGCACTGGGCCGCTTAAGTGGCCGGCCAGCAGTTTGATTTATTCCGCTCCCGGGCCGAGAAGCTGGAGACCGGAGACCGGAGTGGAGACTCGATAGCCAGGTGCTCGGATCGGACGCATCCCCGGTGGCCACTCAAACGCAAATACACAACATTTACAACTGCGCCGGCCAAGGCTCCGCAATGCACTTTCGGGCCTGCCAGCTGATAAGAAGATAAATGAGCCCGCTATGAGCCGGCAGGAGTTAAGTCCTGCACTCAGAAAAGGATATGCCGTGAGTTATCGAAGTTCGCAAGCAATAAACTGTTTGATTTTAATGCCGAATGTGAGGGATGTTCACTGGGAACCGCTTAACCAAGCCATTGTGCAGATATACAAAAGATTTATAACCCTTTAATATTTTTTGTATTTATTACTTTTAAGAGATGATTTATTCTGGTTCTAAGATTCACACAATGTGTTTAATTTGTAAATAAAATTTTAAAAATTATTGAAATTATTAGCAGCATTTAGTTAAATTATGACTATGATTCCTATCTCTTAATACAAACTCATTCTTTGCAATACAAATTTGATTGATGAGGGAAATCCTCAAAGGACGTGTTATTGACTTTTCTGTGTACCGCCAATAAATTCATTCGAATGGCATTTGAAAGTTTTATGATCGTATAAAACAGGAGAGGGCGACCTCCCGTTGAAGCAGTTGAGGGAAACCGACATTTCAGCGCCACCAACGGCAGGATATGCAAAGCGGAGCCGAGACGCCGCCCCCCAGAGCTCCACTCCTCGGCAGTCGCTCCTCTGTCTTTGTTTGTTTGCTCAGACTGCCGTAGGCTGGCATATGCGAACTGGAAATTATGAGCGATGGTACGCCTCGTGCGCTCGAACGCAGTCTTGGGCCTTGGCTATAGTCCCCGATACGGCTTTGGATCTGCTCGATGGCAACATTTGGCATTGCTCATACGACGTGTGGTCGCAATATGCAATGTTGCGTGCCTTTCCGGAAGCTGCTCATACTGCACTTACAGAAAAACGATAGTTGTCATATTTCTCATGAGGAATACGTTCTTTTAAAAGTCCTCCTTTAACTGAATAATACATCGTCACCTAATAAGTTTCTAGTTGGAAGAATGATTTGTTTTACAACTGTTCTGATTAGGAAGATTTAAAAAAAATATATATCATTTTTTATTGAATCATTTTTGTTAGATTAGAAGCATTAATTTAATGAATTAGCAGGGAACCTATTTTTGTTTAATTTTTTCTGTGTACGGGAGACATGAAGCTGCATGCGGCGAGTATCTACTGCACTGCACTCTCGCCGATTGATGCCTTTGGCATGCTTCTGTGTTTGGCTCCGGCTGCAGCTCCATCTCATTCTCATCTGCATCCGCATCCGCAGCCCCATCCTCGACTCATCCCCATCTCATCCCACGGCCGCAGCCTGAGTGATGTGGAGCCTAATTTATGGCCCCGTTTGCCTGCCAGCCCGTTCAGCATACCGAAATGGCAAACGGCCTCTGTCAAAGCAGGCCAGAAACTGCAACTGCAACGGCAACGGCAACTGCAATAGCAACTGCTAGGAAAACGGCAACGGCGAGTGCAGAAAATTGCATAGCATTAGATCGCCGATTGCCCCCGGGAAACGGGCTCGTATAAATTGCATTGCATACCTCGGCGCGCTGCTAATTATGCGACTACCCCGATCCAATCCGGTGCGATCCGCTGCGGTCTGCGCAGCCAGCTGCTGCCTCATAAATATGCATTACAGCATATACTTTCACCTGTCGCTGGACGCGCCATCAATCAACGTCCATTAGGCCGAAGAAATGCACCAGGAAGCGGAAGTGTCGCACAACATACGACTATGTACGCAGGTGCGACTTGAAGGACGACACGCACAGGGAAAATCGTTTTGGGAAAAAAGAAAGACTTCGTTAAAGCACACTAAAGCACATCAGTGAAACTTACAAAAAACAAAACATAATTTACCAGTCTAAAGCCAACCTTCATCAGATCTTTTTCTAAAGTAAATAGTAATTTATAAACATTAGCTTTCATGTTCAGAGTCCACGCTGATCGTATAGCATCAGTGCAAAAAAACTTTTTACTTTTGCCCTACACCGCCTAAACTGGAATGCAAACCTATTTCCGCCCTCATATTCAAAGATAGCTCCTTATTAACTTGCCCTCCCTTACTAATCCTAGAACAATGCTTGATGTGTTTCTTTTTATCCTTATACGTGGTGAAATTGACAGTCCTGACTTGTAGGGTAGATTAAACTTCTCGGTTCCAAGTAGATTAACTTGAAAATATATTTCTTTAGTTTTAAATGATTGTAGACCTAATTATAACTAGCATAAGCCTTTCAGAGTACTTCTTTCTGACTATATTAGACTGTTTTCTATAGTGGTTACTACCGACCAAAAATTTCCGCGAATCGTGACGTACGATACAGGGCTGTGACCTTTGGGCGGTTGGGTGTGTGGAGGGCCGTGGAACTACGCTGGCAAAAAAAAAAAAAAAGAAATTAATAAATAACCGGAATGAAATCAATAATAAATTAAATACGTTTATTTGGAATTATATACGGCTAGCATTTAAATATAATTTGCATTATAAACGGTTAGCATCTATATATAGCGAGTGCACCTGGGTCTTTTTCAAAAGGAATCTACATCTATACTGTCGAAAATGAAGATCTATTTTGCATTGGTGTGTCTGCTGGTTTCCATCATAGGAGTTCCTGAACTTGCTGTTTTCAACATCAATTAAACTAAATGGCTGGCATGGGCTAGGATGCTGTAAGATACACGGCTGTGCCCCTCGGGCGGTTGGGTGGGTGGTGGTCCGCGGAACTATGCTGGCAAATAAAAAAACAAGAAATTAATAAATCACCGGAACTAAATCAATAATAAATTAAATACGTTTATTTGGAATTATATACGGGTAGCATTTACATATAATTTGCGTTATAAACGGTTAGCATCTATACCTATATAAGCGAGTCCAGATGGGTCTTTTACAAAAGGAATCTACATCTATACTGTTGAAAATGAAGACCTATTTTGCATTGATGCCACTTGTAACGAACACACACACAAGTGCTGCTCACTCCCAACACGCTCTGTCTACATTTTGTCCGGCCTGCTCAGGGTAGGTGGCGTGGGTTTGTGTTAAGAGAGAACAGGGGTGCTACAGAATTAAATAGTAGACAGAGATAAACAAAAGGCCAAAACTGATCATACACCAAACGGCTATGAATCGGACGAAAAATAAAGGTATCCATCGATGTTGGAGGACCAGATGGTGATGGCCTCCTCTATACCCACCCTACCAGTGGAATCTGAGAAGATTCCACCCCTTTATCAACTGCTATGCTACATTTCCAAAACTTTGCCCTCCAAGAATACTAAGTTAAATCATGTTGAATATAATATAATTATAAAGAAAACGAAAGAAAAGCGATAATATACATGTTGAAATTTTAACCTAACCTTAAATCTAATTAACAGTATTTAAGAAAAGCTTATCACCTATCGATATGTGTATGTGTTTATAAATTCGAAAAGAAAAGGTATCAAAATCAGATGGGTTCCTAACTTTAAAGGATTTCTCACATTTACTTCATATATTTATTCAAGGGTTGCAAGCAATAGGAAATATATATATATATATGGCCAAAAAATATACGAAAATACAAGAGATTACACGGCTATGCCGTACTCACGACAATTCCAACGAAGTCAGCAGGCCTGTTGACGGTGTTGTTGTGGTTGCTGTTTTATGAAAGAAAAAGGCGAATATATAATCCTCTACTGCTGCACCATAAAACTATAACGGGGTCGAAGAGGTTTATAAGTACATGTTTTACGAGTTTAAAGTAGCAAAATCAAATTTATGTATACGATACAAAAAGTAGAGATCCAGGCGGGCCCGACGATCGTGTCGATCGTCGTCGACGTTTGCCTGTATGCGGCGTCCGTGAGAGCCGAAGGCGTTTGCGCTTGTGTGCGCAGAGGCAAGATGGCGCTTTGGGTGCGCGGATGTACGTTCGTGATCACGATGTGTGTGTGTGCTCACGCGTTTGCAGCTACGTGCGTGTGATAGGCCTGCACGGCGATGTGTGTGTGCGCTTTTGCACGAGCGCGGATCCAAGATGGCGCCTTCGCCTTCGCGCGACGATGTGTGTGTGCGCTTTTGCACGAGCGCGGATCCAAGATGGCGCCTTCGTCTTCGCGCGGCGATGTGCGTGCTTACGCCCTCGTGCAGCGTTGTGCTTGTATGCGATCGCCTAAGTATGGCGACGATGTGACGCGCCAGGCGTCTGGAGAAGTCCCTCCTCAAATTCGGAGTCTCCGGCGTTCTTGGAATTCCGCCCTTGTAAAAACACTAGTTTAAATCACTAGGCCTTTAGCCGTTCACTGGCTTACCGTTGACAGAAGCCGCTTCCTCGAATTCACCGATTCCTAGAATTCGCAAAATTCCGGGAATTCCCAAATTCCTTGACTTCACTTTTCAACACGTCACAGATCGTGGGATCGGCTGAAGGTTTTCCCAGTTGGGGTTAATCGGGTCTCTCTTGTTGCAGTACAAATAATTCCAATATTTAATATTCACTTTTTAAAATTTAAAGTTTAATCACTGCGAGAGATGTCCGTTTGGATCGGCGATCAGAAGAAAAAGAGAGAGTGGACGTGTACGAGCGTCCTGCAAAATCCCATAACGCCAAAAAAAGCTTAACGCGATCAATCGATTGGCGATTTTGTCATGTGGTAAAGGTCATTACTGAATGCAATTTAGACTCGACCCTTGCAAGGTGGTATTATCGTGTGGTAAAGGTCATTGCTGAATATTATCTTGACACGACCCTCATACACTACTGGTTTTCATCATTGGCTTCCCTAAATTTCAATCAGACAATAAGCTGCCAGAGGGAAATGAAGGTTAAAAGATTTCATTTAAGTGAAATTCATTAAATATTGCCATGGCAAATTAAACAAAAAGCCTATTAAATATTAGAACAGATTGATTTTATTTTTTGTGAGGTGTAAATGTATAGCCTATTATTAATCAGCTTTGTAACCTAATTAGCAAAATCATAAATTGTAGTTTTGTATTAACTTGTGATTTATTTATGAAGGGTATTGTTCATTATTTTGTTTAGAGTATAGCATCAGAGTATAGCATCGTATAGCATCAGTGCAAAAAAACTTTTTACTTTTGCCCTACACCGCCTAAACTGGAATGCAAACCTATTTCCGCCCTCATATTCAAAGATAGCTCCTCATTAACTTGCCCTCCCTTACTAATCCTAGAACGATGCTTGATGTATTTCTTTAAAACCTTATACGTGGTATAATTGACAGTCCTTACTTGTAGGGTAGACTAAATTTCTCGGTTCCAAGTGGATTAACTAAAAAATATGTTCCTTTAGTTTTAAATGATCGTAAATCTAGTTATAACTTGTATGAGCCTTCCAGAGTACTTTATTCTGACTTTAATAAACTGTTTTCTATAGTATCTACTAGCGACTCCAAAATTCCGCGATTCGTGCCGTAAGATACACGGCGGTGGAACTATGCTGGAACGAAATCAATAAGAAATTAAATACGTTTATTTGGAATTATATACGGCTAGCATTTAAATATAATTTGCATTATAAACGGTTAGCATCCATGTATATATAAGCGAGTCTAGCTTGGTCTTTTCAAAAGGAATCTACATCTATACTGTTGAAAATGAAGATCTATTTTGCATTGGTGTTTCTGCTGGTTTCCATCATAGGAGTTCCTGAACTTGCTGTTTTGAACATCAAATAAACTAAATGTCTGGCATGGGTTAAGATGCTGTAAGATACACGTCTGTGCCCCTCGGGCGGTTGGGTGGGTGGTGGTCCGCGGAACTATGCTGGCAAATAAAAAAACAAGAAATTAATAAATCACCGGAACGAAATCAATAATAAATTAAATACGTTTATTTGGAATTATATACGGGTAGCATTTACATATAATTTGCATTATAAACGGTTAGCATCTATATATAAGCGAGTCCAGATGGGTCTTTTACAAAAGGAATCTACATCTATACTGTTGAAAATGAAGATCTATTTTGCATTGGTGTTTCTGCTGGTTTCCATCATAGGAGTTCCTAAACTTGCTGTTTTCCACGGGAGATTAGGAAAATAGATTTCATTTAATTGAAATTCATTAAATATTACCATGGCAAATTAAACAAAAAGCGTATTAGATATTAGATTGATTTTATTTTTAGTGAGGTGTAAATGTATAGCCTATTATTAATCAGCTTTGTAACCTAATTAGCAAAATTATAAATTGTGGTTTTGTATTACTTTGTGATTTATTTATGAAGACTATTGATCGTTATATTGTAAATTGATTAAAGTTTGCAAAAATCAAGAACCAGCCTCCAGTTCAATTGTCATGTAGACTGTTTCCAAAAAATCAAACGTAGCATATTTAATATGCTCGCTGGTCATTAAACAACAAACAATCTGGCTCTGGTTTCTTGGGCTTCTCAGGCGAAGGCCTGTCAACTGCCTTCCTTCCTAACCCCCGAATACCCACACATATTATATGGTGTAGTAGTCCTGTCAGCGGCAACAACAAATGATAAAATGTCTGCGTCCAGCCAGCGACTTTCTCTTACTTTCATCTCCGTCTGGCGAGAGGGGAAGGGGGAGTCTGAAATAATTTAATTTCGCCTGCCATGTTCGCCGCAGGCCTTCGCTGGCTGAATTTGTTTTATTAAAAACTGTGCACTATACGCCGGCAAACACGCACAGGCGATGGAAATGAAAGAAATGAAATCAAATACTCAAAAATGAGCAAATAAGGCGAAACGAAGGCGGCGACAACATGAAAACAGAAAAATGTACAAAATATGTGCACGATGGGGCCTGGCAATTTGGTAATTTCTTGGGGTAAATCGCGAAACGCTTTGTTTCGCAGATTTCCTTTGACGGTTTGACGGTTATTTAATTTGCTCTCCCTCGGAATTGGGGCACCAAATCTACGTAATCCCCAGGTCCCCAGAAAATCGAAGGCAGCGGGTGATTGAAAGAGGATGCTAATGCTATAAATGCTCGCCCATCATTTGTCTTCATTCATCTTTTCAATTGTCCACCCACCCTATTTTAGAACCCCACTCGAAATCATTAATTTCAAATATTATCCCCGCCTGGCAGCCCCATTTTCCCGATTGTAAATAGTAATACGAGCGGCATATTCATAAATATGAAATAACTTCAGTGCCATTTAGCGGCGCATAATTCGCACGGGCCACGCCCACTTTAAAGTTGCTGTTGCTACACAGTTAGAAATCATTATAAAATAAAAGATACTTCTTACATTACACTACAATATAATCTTTTGAATAACATAAGATAGGAAAAGGGATGGAACTTGTATTTGTTTATTTAATAATATATACAAAGTTTAAAGTAGTCGAGATGGGTTTAAGGTATAAATATGATTCCTATATACTTTTCCTTAGAGTGCTCTGTCCTTTTTTCATATTTATCGGCGCTGTTCCCTGTTCTTTATTAAGCAAACTAATCATGACCCTTTGTGGCCGACACGTGGCTGGTAAAGCGGACCCGGGGACAGCAAATAATGTGCGCTGTGATGGCCGAAATGGGCCAGGATTGCGGGGCACGGGATACGGGCATCAGCATTCCCATAACGCCGAGCATATTCAAGGTTCGCCCAGGCAAATCCTTTAAGTGTCATTCGGTGGCCCCAGCATTCGGCTGCATCGTTTGCTCCAGTTTTTCCTCGGCTTTTTCCGGCTTTTTTCCTCGATTTTTCCTCTGTCGCCGACCAGAGTTGTTTGCTCACTTTTTATGCGTTTGGATTTGCACATTTGGACACTAGTTAATTATGTTCTTAGTCCCTTTTATGTCACAATTTTCATTTGGCAACATCAAATAAACTAAATGTCTGGCATGGGTTGGATGGGATGTGCTCGGCTGTGCTGGGAAACTGCCTGCCCTCCGATCCTGGGGAAAACTGTCTGCCGCAATTGTCGTGGCAAGGTAAACAAATATGCGTATATGGCTGGATGGCTAACTACATTGGCCATTGGCTGCAGTCCTGATCCTGGCCTTCCTGGGGGTTCCTGGGGGTGGATTTGGGCGGCTGGGCGGAATAAATGTGCCTATTTGTAGCCGGGGTTGGGTTCGGAACTCCCCCTTTGGTGCGGTCGCCTGCTATAAAATTCTGTGCGGAATGGACATTCGGACTTTTAATATGCTCGAGTAATGTCTGCATTAACAGAATTCATTTGCAGGACATGGCCAGCAGCCAGGACAACCCATTCCCACTCTCGTCCCCATATGTGTGTGTGTGCGTTGTGGTGTGTATGGTGGTGTGTTGGTGTGGTGATGTGGTGGTGCGAGTGAGTGCTGTTGGTGTGGAGAAACAAATTTATGTCGTGCTACTTGCTGAAATTGGATTTCTGGCCGCTGCTCCCCCTGGTTGTTATTGTTGTCGTCACATCGTTGCTTTTTAGTCACCGAAATGTGAGGAGAAAGCAAGGCGAAGGCAAAACTTGACCCACAGGACGCAGGAAAGGGGAGAGAGAGGCAGAGGGAGAGGGAAAGGGAGGGGGCATTTGTTTCCATTCCAGGTTTTAGTACGTGTAATCCTTTTTCATGATTTGCACGCCACTTCAGAGGACATTTTTCGGCCTTGGCATTTGTCTCAGGTCTCAGGTTAGTCGTTCATCGTCCGTCCTTCGTCCACCGCTCTCGGTCGTAATCAAGTTGAATGCCTCAATTAGGGCACTGTCTCCCTCGAAATTGGACTGACCTGGCACGTGTTTTTATTTTCACCTTTATCTATTTATTGTCTAATTTTAATGGTCCATCGCTCGCTCTCCGTTGCAGAATGGCAAATTGCCCAGGAGCCTGCCCGCGCTGCGTGCCATGGAAATGGCGCTGCGTACCAACTCCTTTGCAACGCCCCCACGCCCAGCGAGGGCCGAAGGAGGTACCCAGGACACGGAGGACTCGGACGAGGAAATGGAGTACATGCCGCCACTGCACAGTGAGTACGACTGCACTGAAGAAAATCATATGCAAGATTTATTAAATTTATTCAGAATTTAATATGTATACTTATATATATTATCACTAATTCAACTAAAGAGAATCTTAAACTTATAATATTTGCAAAATACTAGATCAAAATATGACACAAATAGGGCTCTGCCTTATTTGTTTTTAACATCCCTCAGTAAAAACTCTAGAGTAAGATTGACGCTTTAGATTAAAGCCAACAGTGGCAGTATTTTTTCCGGGTGCACGAGTCCCTTTCCCTGTCCGGTGGCAAATTCAATTAAAAATTTTTGAAACTGCTCCACCTGCACGTGCGTGACGAGCTTCTGACGTCCAGCAAGGATGGAGCAGGAGCACCTGGACGCAGTGCCATTCCGGCCGTTATCCTGCTGTTCCGGCGGTCCTTGGTCCATCGGTCCTTCGGTCCACTGCTCCGTTGCTCCATTGCTCGGTTGCTCCGTTGCTAGAGCCACTCCGCTGTCAGGCGTTTCAATTTACTTTTATGTCTCGCAGCCTTATCGCGGCGCAAATTGAAATGAAATCTTGACACAATCAGCATGCCCTTGCCACCGGCAGCTCGGATTCCCACATACAATTAACTTAAACGCTGACCATCAATTATGGCCGGGCTCTAAGGCAGCTGGGTGCCAGTCAGTTGCCGGTTGTTTTGCTTCCCGGCAATGGACAAAGTTTTGCAGCCCAAATATATATTTGGGCCGGGCAAATAGACAAGCGAAAAAAACAGACGAAAGCCCAGCCAGAGCTACAAAAAATTGTCAACTTATGCGAAAGTCCCTGCCCTTTTTCCCGCCGCCTTCCCGGATGTTTCGCTAAAGATAATATCACAAACTTTGCGCTGAGCTGAAGCCGAAGGCCTGGCAAATGGTCTCGGGATGCCACTACTCCCCCGTTTATTTATATTAATATTTTTATCATTTTATGACGACTATACAAATGTGAGACTAGCCGGCCTGACCACCTTGAGCCGAGATTGCGGCCGAAACTTTTCGGCCCAACTTAAATTCACTTTATTCTGTCGTTGCGTCGGGCAACCGCATTAATCCGCTGCCCGAGCGCCATTTACATTTCATTTGTGCCCCGCCCGAGAATATGATAGAATAATGAATGTATAAATCAAGACGAAACTTTTGCGCTCCGCCTTGTGTGGTTGGTGTTTAGCATATTATGTAATAAATCAATAGAAGAGGGATTTATGGGTTAAAGATGCTCTGCGTTTGGCGAGAGTATGAGCAGCTCTTTTTGGCAGAAAGCAAATATATTTTCATTTGTGATTAGGTAGGTGATACCTAAATTAAGAACTGCCTTAAGGCGAAATCTGCATCAGCTGGCTTTCGAATCCTTCTCGCTTTAAAAAGCCCGCGGCAGCAGCTGTAAGTGCTCCGCTTTGCAGCTGTTCCAATTTTTAGTGTAAATAACCCCGGTGGCAGCAGCCTTGTTTTTGTCCCCTGCTTGAGTTTTCCCACCCACCCATTCGCGCTCCGCCCCGCATTTTCCAGCTTCCACTTTCCACGCTTTCCCTCTTCGGCACACTTGTCAATATGAAAATGCTGCTGCTTCTGCTGCTGCTGCTGGGCCGCTGATGTTGCCGGTGGCGTTGCCGTTGCTGTTGCCGTTGCTGTTGCATTTTTTCGCTCACCTGAATGTTTGTTCAGTCAGAAAGTTTTGATTTATTTACGGCGCAAGTTTTACATTTTACACGACACTCGCCTCCAATTACATGCCGCTGCCGGTGGCACCACCCAACCACCCACCCATCCATCCCTGCAGCAACCCTTCCGACTGAACTCATTTGCAGCTCGGCAACCCCCGGCGCAGCCCTAAAAAGTAAAACTGAAACTGAAACTCAACTGGAATACTTTCCTTCAGATTTTAATCGCTCACGTGAGTCCTGCGAAACTGCTCGCTCGTGTGTGCGTGTGTGTGTGCGTTTGTGTGAGTGTGAGCCGTTGATGTTTGTGTTTTTACATATTTAGTCGCAGGATAATGTGTCGCCGAGTTGCTATCGTCGTTGGTGTTTTACTTTCCGCTGCCGCTGCTGCTCGTGCTGCTTTCACCGCTTTCCATTTCCCATCGTCGTCGTCACGGTGGACTTGGCCATTTGCATAATGCAGCAGCAAGAGATCCCGCCAACCATGGCCTATATGTAGCCAAGAGTGGATGCGAATTCAGCAACATTTTCAGGATTATAAACAGTTTAATAGAACGATCGCATGACTTAAATTTTACCTTACTTTTGACTTTGGTTATTTTTGCAATTTCTGAATGATTTATTTCCCCGATTAATGCTTACTTGTAAAGGATATTTATAGGCTTAACGTTATGCGTGCAAGCAGTTCCTAACTTGTTGTCCTCTTTAACCCAATCTCAACCGCTTTTACTCTCAAAGGTTTTCCTTTGGCGTTGCATGCAACGTACCCGATATCTGTTACACTATCGACGTCATCTCGTCCTGTTGCGAGTGTTTGTGCTTGCGCTTGTGTTTGTGCCTGCCCCATGAATATGCAACGCAGAGTTTGCCTCGTTATTCCGCCATGTGAGATGGGTTCGGGTATCCGTTTCCGCTTTGCGGGAAATCGATCAGAAGGCCGCTTTGAGATACAGAAAAGAAGATTGTCGCTCGGGCGGCTCATCTCGAAACTACAGTGAAACTAACTCGAGTTTAATCCTGAAAACATTTTTAATTATATTGAAAAGTAACTCCAGTACTTAAACAATATTATTTAAGCACGGGTAACTGGGAAACTTACTTTACATAATTTCTTTTTGTGGTGACTTTTCGGTAGTTTGAGAAGCCTGCCTGTATTCGTCGTCTAAAGTGACCTTGAGGACTGCGAGGAAATACGCGCAGCGGTCTCTTTGCCTTTTGCCTGACCGAAAACCAACCGAGAACCATTTGCGACTCAGACTCATCTTGGCCACTTTCCCTCCGCACGGCCGCAAAATGCTGCCCAGACTTTTGGGCCCAACCAACGTCTTCTGCGGAGGAGGTCTGCGTCTAATACGCTTTCGGCGGCGAGTAACAGTTGCTAAAATGTTTTCCATTGTTTTCACGCTCAACAAAAGGCAGACAATTAGTTTTCTTAAACGACAAATCAAGTAGAAATTAAGTGGTGGCGGGCAAGGGCAAAAGCTGCCGCAACGATCTGAGAGCTGTGGGTGGTTTTCTGACTTGGGTGGTGGGTGGTTGTGTAGTGGGTGGGGTGGCAGGGTGGCTGGCCTGGTGATAACAAAACAAAAGTGGATTATTGGCTCTCGAGCGCATAAACAATAGCATGTGGGCCTTTGTTTGTTTGCCTAGTGCAAAGCGTTTGAGGACACTCCACTCAGGACTCGGGTGTTTTTGCATAATGAGTAAGAGGCGCTAATGTATAATCTGTTCACGAAACCGCTGTTAGAATAAGACTTGTTAAGAAATCCAATCGAAACGATTAACAGAGCGTGCGAAAGCCGTGATTATAACACTTTCATGATGTGCTATAACTGGCAGCGAAAAGTAGGGAAATATTTCTGAGGCATAATCAAAAGAAAATCCTGGAAAAACCCCAAGTCGAGACAGCAACCTTTTCGAACTTACCCATGCGCATGCTTGAGAGAGGAATTTTCCTGAACGAACTTCGGCTGGCACTCGGCGCTTTTCCTTTTGGCCAACACGAACGAGCGGCAGTCGGCCAGGAAGAAAGGATATCGGAGCGGCAGCGACGCCGACAGAATAACGGTAAACGACCGGAGCGGTACGATGTGTTGACTATTTGTGAGGCGGACGAAGGCGCTTCGCTTTCAGTTTGAATTGTGTCCTCGTTAAGAAAGGATATTCGTTACATTGTTGTTAAGTTGTTATTATAATTTCTCAAACAAACCAACCAACCAACCAAAGCAACCCAAAGCAAACCGAAAGCCAACTGCTCGCTAAAGAGAATTCAAAATAAAAACCGAAAAGTAAGGAAAAGCGAAAAAAAGAAATTCCATCAATCGACGAAGTGAAATAACGAAAGCCGAGCAAACGAAAAACTAACCAAAAACTTAATAATGATAAAAAATAATCTACAAAATAATAAATAATAACAACTTAGAAAAACTAAAAGTTTCCGAAAGCTTATAAATATTAAAATAAGGGAAACATTTTATTGGACCAATGTTTTTTAGTTTCTGCACTTTTAGTGCCGAAAGATTTAGTGTTTAAAAAAGATTCTGTTCGTTTTGGCAAAAGACTTTTGTTGCATAAACTTGTCATGTGTTTTTTAGTGAAAGAAGTTTGAATCGAAATGTGTGTCTGTGTTAATGCTATTATTTTTACAATTTAGTTTTAAAAAAATAGAAGAAATGATTTTGCAATAAAATCGATTCGAGCTGGGGATTTAAGGTAATACTTAACCCGTTTTGGGTTCCTTGGCTTCGTTGTCACATAGGCGAGCATCGATTTTGGCCATATTTACATAGCCAGCCACAACGCTTTTTGCGTGCATGTACGAGTATTTTGTTGTGCCTGTTGTGTTTTTGGCCACATTATGTACAACTACAGGCGTCTGGCACTTCGGCTTGTGGGCCACATAAACCGACAACGAGCAGCCAATAAATGCTGCCGACTGGGCTCCTATATAAAAAGGACACTGCAGCTGTGTGTGATTCATACTCTCCGGCAAACACACACACACACACACCCAAACAAACACACACACTCGCGCGAAGGGGAATGCTGTGTGCCGTATGTATTTTGTATTTTTGGTGTGGCCCCTGCACTCGTCCTGGTTTTTTCTTTTTGCTGCTTGCCCGCGAGTGCTTCCGTGTGTCCTGGCTCTCCGAGCAAACATAAAAATATAAGTTTATATTTATATTTATACATAGCATTTGTCTGTCCGTCCGTCCGTCCGTCTCCATCTCCGGGGGCGATATAAAACCGGAAGCGTCTGATCCTGACACTTGCCAACACTTGGGGCGAACGGGGCGTCAGGAGGCGCTTTGTTTGGGAGGCTGTCGTAAAACCCCAGCTCGGATCCTTGCGCGTGTTTTTTGGCACTTGTATTCCGCTCCTTTTATTATTATTGTTATAATTTTTTCGCCGCTGAGCTGGCTGAGCTGTCTGTTCTGCTCTTGGCACTTAGACATTGCGTTACGCGCATAACTTTTTATTTTTTGTTGGCTCATGTTTCGCTTTGTATGCGTGTGCGTGTGCGTTTGCGAGCACACAAATCGTAAAATATTAAATTTAATTTTTCAAATGATGTGTGAATGGCTTAGTCTTGATATATGATAATGGCCGTGCGCGGCTGCCATAAAAGTCGGGCGAGTCGTCAGTTTTATTTACTCTGCTCTCGGTTCGAAGGACTTTGATCACACTAGCAGACGGCAGAGTTAATTATCCTCTTGTTTGTTTACGCTTATGATTTTGCGTTGGCAGAATGTTGGTTTTGCTTAAACAAGAACCTCTCCATATTTTCGTAGAAAATCAAACCAAGGGAGTCCTCGAGCCTCGAGCGCTGCGGATTCTGCCTGGGAACATAATTCAAAACCACATGAACTTTTCGAAAACAAATTTCATTGGTCTGTGATAAGTGAAGGTCAAGCAAAGAGGAAATTTTTTATGAAAACTATAAACCAACCACAAACAACACGAAGCGGAACAAACGGCAAGGAAAACCACAAAAGGCAGCGTTTTCCAAATTAGCAAAATTGTAGAAATTATTTAATGCATCAAATCGTTTGACCAAACAACAAGCAGCGCCAGCAGCAACAACAACAGTGCGGTTTCACACAAAAAGGCGGCCATTAAAATAACAAAAAAAAAAAAAAAACAAAACAAAAACAAAAAACAAACAAAAAAGGGAAAAACCTAGCCAAATTATAACACAATTTATTTATATCATCAACTGCAAGGCGGCAGGCACTTCATTAAGGATCAAAGCGAGCTGCGTGCAACCGCAGAACGTGCAAATTCCGCACCGCAACAGCAAAACCAAAAGCAAAGGCAGTAGCAACAGCAGCAGCAGCACCACCACCAGTACTCCATCTGCACCTCCACCTTCACTGACCTCCCCCGGAGCCACTGCACCACTGCGCCAGCCGGAAAATGTTGGCCATGCCCACGCTGATGATGCCAGCCACCGCCCAGATGACGCTCAGCGCCGCCCACGGAAAGCCCTACGAGACAAAGCTGCTGGCCATCCACCAGACGCACCTGCAGCAGCAGCAGCAGCAGCAACAGGCGCCCGCCCCCCGCAGCAGCAGCAGCCGCAGCAGCAGCAGGCGCCCAACGGCAAGCAGCCGCAGCAGCAGCAGATGACCATCGTCACCACGCAGCAGCAGCAGCAGCACCCCCAGTCGCAGTCGCCGCACCAGCAGCAGCAGTCGCAGCAACAGGCCGCCGCAGCCGCCGCAGCCGCCGCCGCCGCAGCAGCGGCCGCCCACCACCAGCAGCAGCAGGCCGTCGCCGCCGCCGTCTGCGCCGCCCAGCAGCAGGCCGTGGTGGTGCAGCAGCAGCAGCAGCAGTACCAGATCCACTCGCAGCAGCAGTCGCCGCAGCAGCAGGTGCTCTGCATCTCGCCCAAGCAGGGTAAGCTTTGAATCAGATTTCTATGATTATATGTATCAGATTATGTGGGAATGGAGCTCAGTATCCTCTGAATAGATTGTACTATTCATCATTAATAATAATGAAGAGGAAGCCAAGACAATAAATACCCATTATAATAATATTTCTACAATTATTAATAATGCATAAATTAACCCAACACAAATATGAATACTTTGTCTAATTTTTGATATAGATTCTTGATCAGTTCATTTAATCAGTTAGCATCTTTAAAAAATATTCCAATATTCTTGCAAATTCATGCATCAGCACTCTTACGAAACATGGAAGCCTTTCCCATCGCTGACTTTTTAAAGAGCCTCTCCCATGGAATTCTCGAGTTAATGCCAGCATTAACATTAGCTCTCCCCCTGCGTAATTGTCATAATCGATACGATGATAGAGCAGCTAATAAACGCGCTCCCCAGACTGGGGAACTCCTTTGACGATTCCCTGATGGACGAGCGAGCCTGCGAGGTGTGGGCCTGCTCCATTTGTTTACGAGGACATCCAACACTTTGGGCACTTATCGATTGGCTTTTATTGCCCGCCTGCGCCTATGGCCGTGTTCTATTCCCAGTCCCAGTCCCAGTCCGAGTCGCAGGTCCTTACAAATTTCACGAGTTTTACGAGCAGCTCGAGCAGTTCAAGTAATGCTTTTTATGGTTTCGTCGTAAAAGTCGGCCAAGCCTCTAATAGCTGTCTAATGTTATTTGGCCTCAGAACGCGGCCCGCGTGCTTGTCAAAGTTTACGTTTTCACTTAGTCTCCGAAAATAAAGGAAAAACTAGCACCTATCCATATCGGAACTGGAGAGCCAAAGGTGTCTGCCTTTGTTGCTGTGCCAAATCAAATAGAAATCAATTTGAAATTATTGACAATTTCCACACTGGCATTGGCTCAGTCAATCGACTCGATTCGATTCGATTCGATTTTGATTTCGAGTCCGTGATTCTCCGATTTTGTCATAGTTGGCATTCTGACTAAACGAAAGGCAAACAAACACACTCGCAGCTAAAGCAAACAGACGGCGTGGGCGGAAAAGTAAATACCGGGAAGGGGGCGTGGCCCTTGTCTGTCTGCCGTTGTTTCTTCACTTATTTTTTTTCGCTTTGAGCCACTGTGAAAAGTGCAAGACGAGACGAGCAAGTGAAGTGCAGCGGACGGCGGACAGCGCGGCGTATACGTAACATTTAAACGCACGTCCACACTTGACCAGCTTTTCCCGAGACAGGGAATTGAAAATCGAACTCGAGCTGAACTCGAACTGTTGGAAAGAAGAAAAGTTTCTTTGGCAAGTTTGCTGCCGTTGCTTTGCGGCAAATTTGTTTTTAAATTTGCCGAGTGTCTGCTGAAATTTTCAATTGGATTCGTTTCGCTGTAGGATGCGGAAACAAATTGCCAAAAGCGAACGACACGAGAATGTGCAGCAAAGTTCTAAGGTTGTAAGCAAACAGACAAAGGCGCAGTGTGCCAGCACCGAATTTGGCTTATAAAGTGGCTCGTTTTTTGTGCGAGTGTCGCAACCGGCAAGCGTCGTCCTTTGTTAGACGGTAAGGACGTTGACTGATGCGCTGGCACAGCTGCCAAGTAGCCCGCCATTGTTGTCCTGCTCCCTGCTCCTCTCAGTTCGGGTGGGCCAACTTTAAACAGGTGATCGATTTTCTCTTTGTCACTTTGGCCGAGCGCAAATTTAATAAAATGTGGCGGGTCGAATTTAATCCGCTTGCAGGCGGCTTGCGACACCTATCACGTATTAAATATGGCATATTTAAATTATGAAATAACCTGAATAAAATTGAGCGGGCAGAGCTGTGCAGATTATGGCTGATTTTGAAGCCCATTTAGCAGCTCCCATAATGGAAATTATTTATATTATTTTATTTGCCATTTTTTTCCATCTCCCCCCTCGATTTGCATATTTATGTTCCAGCCGTGGCCGTAGTTTTTGCACTGCACTCGAACGCAATTGAATAAATAAGCATATTAAATGCTCGCCGACAGCAAACACAAAAGTGCATGCTCGTATTGATGCAGCTTAAAAAAGGGTCCACTTTCGGGTCTTTACGGACCTTGAACGCATTGGAAAACACTATAAATTCCGCTGGAGAAGCCATTAAGAGCTCGTAATTAGGCTGATGAATTCAGGGCTCCTGGTCGGAATAACAATCGCCGGGTGGAAGCGCCCTTAAAGTGGAAAATAAATTCAGTTTGGCGTCTGCTGCTGAGTTAATGCATTTTCCGCTTCCACGCTTCCACGAGCAGACACAAAGAGCGATTCGTGTGCGAATGCCGAATGCGAATGTCCTTCTGCCCTGCTTCCCTAATGATAATGATGATGGTGATGGCGATGGCAATGTCGATGGCGCTGGCAATGGTGATTATTATTGGCAGGCAGTGCATCGTATGCCGAGTGCATTTTGTCAACCTGCTCGCTGTTCGCTGTTAGCTGCTCGCTGCTAACTCATCGCCCATTATCGTCGTTATTGTGGCCGTTAAGTACGTTTGCCGCCATTATCCTGCTCCTGCTCCTCCATCGCTCGTCCTTCCTCCGGCTGCAGTTATTATGTTTTAAATATGCCGCCAGCGTGCTCCGTATATCTTGGCCACTTTTTCCGCCAGAACGCCTCGCCGTGCAGCTGCTCAATGGTTTTTAAAATTGAAAACTATATATCAATGGCCTAGGCCAAGGGTATAGTTTGTCGGATGGCTGGCTGCCCGGCTGACTGGCTGGATGGCTGGCTGGAGGTCTGGACCGGAGGTATGTCCTTTGTCTGGCTAGGCTTCTCCTCTCCCTTTCGCCTTTCTCCGATTCTGTTCCCCTTGTCGCTGCGCCTTTCTTATGGGTTTTCATTTATTTGCTATTAACCTGTCATTGTTCATTTTTATTATTGTGCGGTTTTTATGCTCGCCTTTTGCGCTTTGTCCTCGCCATTTGTTGTTGCAATCGTGTCTCGCGGCATTTCCCGCTCACATGTGTGTGTATGTGTGTGCAATAAATTGTTATTATCGCCGCGTTGCAGCATGTCGTCGTCCTTTCGCAGGACCTCGCCTTGTCCTCCGCAGACCATGCAAAAGATTTATAACTTTTATTATTATTGAAGCTTATTTGCCGCTTTATCTGGCGCTGCCCGACTTCGGTTCACAGCTCAGCCATAGTTTACGACTGGAAAATCAATCATACGCCATGTTTGACGCCGAGTCAAGCCAGCCGAGCATCACCTGCCACTTCGAGGAGATGGAGGAGCCCCCATCTCCTCTCCCTTGGGAGCCCTTTGTTTTCCCCGGTTGTCACCGTCGTTTCGTATTAATTTTTCACCGCCACCCGACACTCATTGATGTCGGCTGTCATTAATGTCTTTGCCCTGCTGTCCATTCGCTGTCCACTTTGGCAGCGACTTTGTCTGGATGCAAGGCGGAGCAGAATTGCATCGCTGGCAAGGAATCCCCAAAGGATGCACTGGGAAAAATGTCACCAAACTGCTTGATTCGATGATTAATGGGTATCCTTCACAAAATCAAGCAAATATGATATGTATAAGTCTAGCTAAGAATAAGTTCTGGTTTAAAATATTTTAAAAGAAATTCCCTATAAATAATACTTATATGCAGAACCCTTTTCTCCCTGTGGCACTTGAACAATACAATATATGGCATCCCATATATCAGGGAATGGGAATTCCCCCAAGGCTGCTCACTTAATTCAGTGGGAGGCCCAGTGGGCCATGGATTAGTATGCCAAGTGACGTCCAGCGGCTGATGCCTTGTTATTAAGTGGACGCTGCAGTTCCACTTCCACTGGCCGAGGGAAACTTTTTACAAACGTCAGTCCGCCTGATTTTCCCCTTTTCCCGTCTCCCCATTTCCACGTCCTCCTCGACTCCTTTGTTTTTGTTTTCCTCCTTTTTGCTAAATGCCAGCAAACAACAAAAGCAGCATAAGGCAGTTTGGACAGCCGGGATGAGCATACAACTACGTAGCTAATACTTTAGCAGCCGGATTAGGTTCAATTGGAGCGGGCAGCGGCTAAAGGGGAAAATGGGCGTAAAAAGAGAGACATCCTGGCTGTAAAAAAATCTCAAGCCCACACATACACCCACATGCACACACAAGGACAGAAAGAGAAAAGGAGCTGGGAATAAAAACTGTTGTAGCAGGCATTAAAGTTTAAACGTTGGTAAATTCCTACAGCTTCCGCTTTGTTGGACTTCATGACAGTCGCTGCGGGGACAAAGGACCGCTTGACTGGACAAGGCCAGGTGGAAAGGGAAGGGGTGGGGGAGTGGTTGAAAGAGGGGCGGGTGAGCTCCTGTGGTCCAGGCAGGTGCGTCAATGTGCGTGATGGGTGCAAATGAAAGGACGATTACAAAAATCGATCAAGTTGCCTTTGAGGGAGAGCCAAGGTAGAAAGTCAAACATCGTGTAACAAGTTTCTCTTCTAAGCAGCAATTTAAGTTTGTATGTGTGCGAAAATTAAGCTGGGCAGCAGTTTAAATTTAATTACGTGACTTCCTAAGAGAGCAATTTACAAGTTCCTTTAAAGGAATTGTTAATTATTTAAAGTGTTGGAGACTTCCTCAATCTTTTTTTTTTTTTTTTTTAAATTAAAGACTTTTTTTATCCCAGTGACCGTCACCTCTTGTTAAAGTCGGGTTTTCTTGTGTCTGCCAAAAAGGACATAAAACGTGAATACTCTCCAGAAAACGCTGTACACTTTTGTGAGCTGCGGTGGCAGATAAAAATGTTTGGTGGCGCATCATAACACGCACAGTGACATGGACACATGGTGAGGCCATTGTGCTGGTTATCCTGCGGGCACAAAGTCCACGTTCTGCGCTCGTAATTTCGCAATCGTCAATCGTGATCAATGTTTTATACACAGCATTTTAAATGCCAGCCAGACTCACATGCAAATGTCTGCTGCTCTTCCTGTGGAAAAATCGATGCAGCTGAGCCGTTTCGTCTGGCAGCGGCTTTAAGGTC